AGACTATAGAGGCTTTGCACCGTCACGTGACCCTATAGTAACAGTACCTACGCCGCCATGACACCGGACACACTGTGTCACTGACTTCAGCAGCGTCGGAGAAACATGGGCAGGTTTTGTTGTGTATTTGGTTGTTCTAGACGCTCTGAACGGGATAAAACAAATCGTTTCTTCACTGTTCCTCTGGAAATGACTCATCAGGATCAAACAAGGAATTATCGGGAAAAAAAACGGGAATTATGTCTAGAGAACATAAACCACGAAGAGATTTCCTATTGAACCATCAACACACACGTCACTTTCATCAAGGTGTTTGTTATTTAAATAGTTTCATAGTTTATTTAATGAGAGAAGCACATTTACTGAACTAAAATGTAAAAAGAAAACATTTGCAGTGTGAGTGGCAGTAGAAACTGTATGTTCCAGCACATATAAACATGTCACTCGTCGTAGGACCATGTTTTCTTTATTGTCTTGTTTATCCACAACTTTGTCTTCTAGAATTAATCACTTTTTGTGAGTGGATCTTTGTAACGTTCGTGAGGATCTTTTCATGGTCGATTCTTTCGAGGTTCGTCTCACAGACTCTTCGACTCGTGCGTCGTGTTGATCACAGGAGCCAGTGTGGGTTCTTGAATCATAAACTAGTGCAGGTTTTCCTGGATAAATTAATTATATTTTAGTTCAGTAAATGTGCTTCTCTCATTAAATAAACTATGAAACAATTTAAATAACAAATACCTTGATGAAACTTCGTGTGTTTTGATGGGACCATTGGAAATCTCTTCGCGGTTTATTTTTGCTGCTTTAATCCGCGTCTTTTTTCGATAATTCCCTTGTTTGATCCTGATGAGTCATTTCCAGAGGAACAGTGAAGAAACAAATCGTTTTATCCCTTTCAGAGCGTCTAGAACATGTGTCAAACATACGGCCCGGGGGCCGGATCCGGCCCTCCAAGACCTTTAATCTGGCCCTCGGCTGATTTTCTACTCAAATATTTTAATTCTATTTTCTATTAAAATATTTGTAATTTTGTGTGGTGTTTATCACAGCAGCGTCTCCAGCGTCTCTGTACGTGGCCCCTCCCACCAGAGCAGCACAAATGAAGACTTGTCTCTTTCCAAACGCTCTTAAAGGACGATCGTTTTGACTGTTGACCGTGACACCCTCATCAGAAAAATGTCCAACATGAGAAAAGTGGAGCCGAGTGCAGGATTTTACAACAAAAATGGACTTATTCCTGTTTACAGACAAGTTCATGTTCAAACTTTGTGTTGAAATTGAATTTTTCTTAAAGTTTCAGGTTGTTCATAATATTATAATATTTTGTAAAAGAAAGAGTTCATCAATTAAAAAATATTTCTGTAATAGATTTGTGTTTCTCTGCACAAATATTAGAATTTATTGTTATTTTTGGGGTTTATATGACATGAGTTTTCTGATCCGGACACTTTGGATCAAAGTAGTTTGGATACGACCCCCGGAACAAAATGAGTTTGACTCTCCTGGTCTAGAACAACCAAATACACAACAAAACCTGCCCATGTTTCTCCGACGCTGCTGAAGTCAGTGACACAGTGTGTCCGGTGTCATGGCGGCGTAGGTGCTGTCGTTATAGGGACACGTGACGGTGCAAAGCCTCTATAAGTCGCACCAGCCCAAAAAATCCATAATGAAGAATAAAAAAAACATATATAAGTGACACATATTTGTTCACCTCGGAGTTGTCCTGGGTCTTGTCCGCGTGGGGGCCGGGCGGTTTGAAGCAGGCCAACATCTCCAGCAGCTCGAACAGGGAGGTGAGGTGCGGCTCCTGGAGCAGCAGCAGCATGGGGATGTGCTCCTTCTGCGGCGGGGGCAGGCAGGAGGCGGGCAGCTGGACGCCCTCGCCCTTCCTCTCCCTCCGGGGGGCGCCCAACGACACGAACACCATCTGAGAACAGACGCCGACACGGACGGGGAGGAAGAAGAACCAGCGTCAACTCACGTCACCACAAAGCTCCACCTTAAGTTCCACTGGGAGTGATTCAGGTTTGAGGAAACTTTAAACACTGATTTTCTGTCCCGGGGTTCAGCTCCACCGGCGCCGCTCGCTGTGACCTAAACAACTTCCATCTCAGATTTTAGTTTTTTAATCAGTGACACGTGTGGAATTCAACAGTGTTGCTTCGTCAAATTTGGTCCAAATGTCAAAAAAAAAAACAACAACAAAAAAAACGCTGTAGTGTGAAGTGCAGCTACTGAGAGGAGGGACCCACAGACTGGTTTAGTCCTGGTTTAGTTCTATCCATATATCAGGACTAAACCAGGACCAGAGCAGGACCAAACCAAGACTAAACCAGGACCAAACCAAGACTAAACCAGGACTAAACCAGGACCAAACCAGGTCCAAACCAGGTCCAAACCAGGAGTAAACCAGGTCTAAACCAGGACCAAACCAGGAGTAAACCAGGTCTAAACCAGGACCAAACCAGGACTAAGCCAGGACCAAACCAAGACTAAACCAAGACTAAACCAGGACTAAACCAGGACTAAACCAAAACCAAACTAGGACTAAGCCAGGACCAAACCAAGACTAAACCAGGACTAAACCAGGACTAAATCAGGCTGTGGGAACCTTCTATGGATAGAACCAAATCAGAACTAAACCAGGACTAAACCAGGACTAAACCAAGACTAAACCAGAACTAAACCAGGACCCAATCAGGACTACACCAGGTCCAAACCAGGTCCAAACCAGGTAAACCAGGTCCAAACCAGGAGTAAACCAGGCTGTTGGTCCCTCCTCCTGCTGCACATCACTCCAGAACTGAAATTTTTTTAAAACTTTTTTTTTTTTAACATTTTTTTACATTTGGACCAAAACGATGACAGACGCTGCCCAAACCTACGAGCATCACCCACGAAGAAAATCAAACTGGAGAAGGAAGAGCGGACGTCACCGTGGTCGTGCACCGCTGGAGCTGAAAACGGGATAAAACATCTCCACGGTAACAGCTGTACATTCCTCCACAGACATACACGTAGAACCCCCCCCCCATCGTCGGCGCAGGTGCGGTCCTGACCTGCATGTCTTTAAACCCGAGCTCGTGCAGAGTTTTCTCGTCGTAGTCCGTGGTCAGCTCGTGTCCGGACGAGATCATCCTGACGGGCCCCATCAGCCCCCCTGTGGACAGAGAGAGTCAGTGCGCCTGTCAGTGCGCCTGTCAGTGCACCTGTCAGTGCGCCTGTCAGTGCGCCTGTCAGTGCGCCCGCCAAAGCACCCGCCAAAGCACCCGCCAAACCACGAGGACTAAACACCACCGTCGTCACAGCGATAAACATGACACAGTGATAAAAGTCCTCAAAATGTCTGCTGGAGGTTTCGCCAAACACTTTTCTCCATGCAGATGTTATTGTTTTGTCTGGAATGTTCCACAGTGTGGCATTAAAGCTTTATTATCTACACGGAGACAAAACCAGACCGAGTTACAGGTCAGATTATAGGGATGGACATTCGATTCAATTTTCTTAATCCGGCCACACCGGTTTGTCAAAGCCGGATCCCGTCGGATCTCGGTCTGGGTCTGGGTCTGGGTCTTTTAACTCTTTCCCCCCTGGACGCCGACTAGGAACAACCCAGACATGTGTTACTAGTTCTACCCATAGAGCATAATTGCATAAAAGAAAACAGACTTCCACCAGTGATTATAAATACATTTTACACTCACGAAGTTAATTGTAACACAGACATATTTGTATCTCTGAAACCTCAGACTCTGAACTCTTCATTTATGGATGTTTAAATGTGATTCAACTCATTTACAGGTTTATAACAGCTCACTGAAAATGAGAGTTTACCTGGTCAGGTGCAAACTCGAAAACAAAAAACTACATTCAGTATTTGATATCTGCATGTTCTGAGTACTATATTCATAAAAAAATAAAAAATATACTTTGTCAAAGTATTTAAACAGATTTCATATCAGCAGATACAGTAAAGCCAAGTGTTCACCTGTTTTTACCTGTTGTTCACCTGTGTGCACCTAATTCATTTTTTCCATTTAGCTTATTCAACTTATTTAATTTATTCAACTTATTTAACTTATTCAACTCATTTAATTTATTCAACTCATTTAATTTATTCAACTCATTTAATTTATTCAACTCATTTATCTTATTATAATATAATAATAAAACTCTTCCCCGTCAGTGTGTGTCCAGTATTTGTCATCTTGGTTATTTTCTCGTGTGCAGAGCTCCACATAAGAGTTTTTTTCTGTAGTGATTCTGTTAAACGTCGCTGTCGCTGTTTTCCACTTTATAATCAACTTCAACATCATCACTTTGAAATCTATAAAAGTCACTTTCTCTAAACTTATCCATAAAATACGTCCGCTCCTCATTATTTCTAAAACTGTGCGCCGCAGCGCCGCCATCTTTCCATTGCACGTGTTTCGTGTTGTGTTTTTTCCAGAAGCTCCATCGTCACTACTTCGATTAACTTCGGAAAAAATCTGCGAAAACATATCCTTGAATCCTATTGGTCAGTCTAGTGTGGGGTTGTAGTGGCCCCCACCTGTCACAGTCTCTGTTTAAATGTGAAAAACCGAGCCATTTTTAAAGGTCGTCAAATCTCGTCTTTAGTGAAACAGCGGAGGAGACAAAAGTCGTCATTAAGGAAACAGGGTCGTCAAATGTCTTCATGGGGGAAAGAGTTAATAACATTTAATAACCGAATAATTTGATTTAACAACAACATTTCGATGTATCTGAGCAGAATCTGTCCAGAGCAGCTGTGGACTGATTTATCGTCTCATGATTAGGAAGTGCCTGTTCGCATGCTAGTTGTCGGTGTCTTCACTGTCTTTACGCTGTGTGTCTGGTGTGACCGTGTCAGACCTGGGAAGTCTCCGCTGCTCTGCCTCGCGCTCTGCCCAAACTCCTGGAGCTGCGGCTGCTGGTTGAGCTGCTCCTTCTGCAGGTTCTCGTACCAGTGCGTGACCTCGGCCCTCAGGTCCGCCACCTGGTCGCTCGGGTACATCTCTATGGTCATCTGGAACAAACGCAGAAGGGTCAGAGCGGACGGGAGCTCAGCGGACACGGCTCCGAGAGGGTCTGAGCTCGTGTCCTTGGGCAAGACACAGAACATCAGACGGAAGAACATCAGAGCTCCAAGATTTTATTAAGACGAGAGTCAAAACTGCGTCTACACACGTTCAACACACAAACCTGCACATGCACACGCGACAAGACCAGGACTAGACCAGGACTAGACCAGGACTAGATCGTGACTAGACCAGGACTAGACCAGGACTAGAGCAGGACTAGACCAGGACTAGAGCAGGACTAGACCAGGACTAGACCGACTAGACAGGACTAGAGCAGGACTAGACTAGACTAGACCAGGACTAGACCAGGACTAGACTAGACCAGGACTAGACCAGGACTAGACCGGGACTAGACCGGACTAGACTAGACCAGACTAACAAGGACTAGACCGGGACTAGACCGAGACTAAACAAGGACTAGACCGGGACTAGACCGAGACTAGGACTAGACCACTAGACCAGACTAGACCACTAGACCGGGACTAGACCTAGGGACTAGACCGGGACTAGACGGACTAGGACTAGACCGGGACTAGACGACTAGACTAGAGCGGGACTAGACAGACTAGACCAGGACTAGACCAGACTAGACCAGGACTAGACCGGGACTAGACCGGACTAGACCAGGACTAGGACTAGACACTAGACCGGACTAGACTAGACCGGACTAGACTAGACCGGACTAGACCAGACTAGACCAGACTAGGACTAGACCGACTAGACTAGACTAGACGACTAGACCAGGACTAGAACAGAGGACTAGACCGGACTAGACCAGGACTAGACCGAGACTAAACAAGGACTAGACCGGGACTAGACAGGACTAGACAGGACTAGACTAGAGGACTAGACCAGACTAGACTAGACTAGACCGAGACTAAACAAGACTAGACCGGGACTAGACCAGGACTAGACCAGGACTAGACCGGGACTAGACCGGACTAGACCGGACTAGACTAGACCAGACTAGACCAGGACTAGACGGACTAGACCAGGACTAGACCAGGACTAGACGGGACTAGACAGGACTAGACGGACTAGACCAGACTAGAGACCGGACTAGACTAGACCGGACTAGACCAGGACTAGACCGGACTAGACCAGGACTAGACCAGGACTAGACCAGGACTAGACCGGACTAGACCAGGACTAGACAGGACTAGAGACTAGAACTAGAGGACTAGACCGGACTAGACTAGACCAGGACTAGACCAGGACTAGACAGACTAGACTAGACCGGACTAGACCAGGACTAGACCGAGACTAAACAAGGACTAGACCAGGACTAGACCGACTAGACCAGGACTAGACCGGACTAGACTAGACTAAACTAGAGGACAGGAGACTAGACTAGACTAGAGGACTAGACCAGACTAGACCAGACTAGACAAGGACTAGACGGACTAGACCAGGACTAGAGCAAGGACTAGAGGGACTAGACAGGACTAGACCGACTAGAGGACTAGACCAGACTAGACCAGACTAGACCGGACTAGACCAGGACTAGACCAGGACTAGACCAGGACTAGACCAGGACTAGACCAGGACTAGACCAACTAGACTAGGACTAGACCGGGACTAGACCGGACTAGACCGAGACTAAGACTAGACCGGGACTAGACCAGGACTAGACCAGGACTAGACAGGACTAGAGCAGGACTAGACCAGGACTAGACGGGACTAGACAGGGACTAGACCAGGACTAGACCGGACTAGACCAGACAGGACTAGACAGACTAGACCAGGACTAGACCAGGACTAGAGGGACTAGACCGGACTAGACTAGACCAGGACTAGACCAGACTAGACAGGACTAGACCAGGACTAGACTAGACAGGACTAGAGCGGACTAGACCAGGACTAGACTAGACAGGACTAGACCAGGACTAGACTAGACTAGACACTAGACCGAGACTAAACAAGGACTAGACCGGACTAGACCAGACTAGACCGAGACTAACAGACTAGACCGGGACTAGACCAGACTAGACCGAGACTAAACAGAGGACTTAGACCGGACTAGACCAGGACTAGACCGACTAAGACTAGACCGGGCTAGACCAGGACTAGACCGAACAAGGACTAACAGACCAGACCGACTAGACGGACTAGACCGGGACTAGACCGACTAGACGGACTAGACTAAAGGACTAGACCAGGACTAGAGCGGGACAGACTAGACTAGACGGACTAGACCAGACCAGGACTAGACCAGGACTAGACCGGACTAGACCGGGACTAGACCAGGACTAGACCGGGACTAGACCGGAACTAGACTAGACAGACTAGACAGGACTAGACCAGGACTAGACCAGACTAAACAAGACTAGACGGACTAGACCAGGACTAGACAGACTAGACGACCAGGACTTAGACAGGACTAGACGGACTAAACAAGACTAGACCGGGACTAGACCACCGGACTAGACCGGGAGACTAAAGACGGACTAGACCGGGACTAGACCGAGGACTAACCGGACTAGACGGACTAGACCGGACTAGATCATGATTAGACCGACCAGACCGGGACCAGACCGGGACTAGACCGGGACTAGACCACTAGACGGGACTAGACCGGACTAGATCAGGACGACAGACCGGACTAGACCGGACTAGACGGGACTAGACAGGACTAGACCGGGACTAGATCAGGACTAGACCGGACTAGACCGGGACTAGACCGGGACTAGACGGACTAGGGACTAGACCGGGACCAGGGACTAAACCAGGACTAGACCGGGACTGGACTAGACCGGGACTAGACTAGACGACGGACTAGACCGGGACTAGACCGGACTAGACCGGGACTAGACCGGGACTAACTAGACCGGGACTAGACCGACCGGGACTAGACCGGGACTAGACCAGGGACTAGACCGGACTAGACGGACTAGACCGGGACGACTAGACCGGACTAGACCGGGACCAGACCGGGACTAGACCGGGACTAGACCGGGACTAGACCGGGACTAGACCGGGACTAGACCGGACTAGACCGGACTAGATCAGGACTAGACCGGACTAGACCGGGACTAGACCGGGACTAACCGGGACTAGACCGGGACTAGACCGGACTAGACCGGGACTAGACTGATCCAGTGTCATTAGTGGAGTATAAATATAAACTGGCTCCAGTCGTTGAGTCGATTTCCTCCGCTGATGTTTTATGTTATAAAAACTCTAAAGTCTCAGTCTGGTCTGACATTGTTTCAGGAAAAGATCTGGACCGGGTCTTGTTTCCAGGGCAACGGACGCGCGTCAAGTATTTTTAAGCGTCGGGGTCTGAACTCAGATGCAAAGGCTCCAAATAGAAACGTCAAGGGATTTTTTGACACTTTGGTGTGAACGAACCTTTAGAATTCTTCTCTCAAACAGAAAACACTCTGTTCCACCTTGTGATGTCATGTGGTGGCACAGGAAGTGCTCCACCGTGTTTCAAACTCCACACACCTTCACTAGAACGGGTGATTGATTTGGATGATTTCCACCCTGGACTTGGTGAACTCTACTGAGCTAAAGGTAAAAAAGGAGCTGTTCACTTGAAAACTTCTGCTTCATGATGACATCACAAGGTGTAACAGAGTGTTTGGAGCTTTAGAGATGTAAACAGACAGATAATAAAGAGTTACTCAGACATGTGTGAATGAAACAAAACACAACTCCAGGTCTGTTTTTTGAAGAAGGAACAGAGTTAGAACACAGGAGTCTTTAAGTCTTATTCCGTTGTCAGGTGGACAACAATAAGACCTTTACTAAACTAACAAGCTGTGGGCTGTGGTCAGACTGTGTGTTTTGTGGGCTGTACCCAAGCTCCGGGGCCTAAACATGGCTGCAGATTCAAGTCAGTGAGCTGAGCTGATTGGTTCATGTCTCCAGGTTCTCCTTCAGCGGTGAGGTACTTCCTGTGGCTCTCTGCCTGTTGAACATGTGCAGTAGTGCAGCTCTTTTCTCCCACGGGGACATCGCTTTGACCAGTGGCAGCACAGTGTCTGAGCAGCACTCAAACCTCACAGCAAGAAGGTTCCAGTGTCATCAGGTTCTTTTTTCAGACCTAGAGTTTTGTTTCATACTTGACAGTTTCGATGGTTTTGACGTGTTTGGTCGCTGTCTTCCTTCCGGTGGGGGCAGGACGACAGCGCCAAAACCTGTTTAAATCAGCTGACCAGACACATCACAGCAACATCACGTGACTCTGAGGAAGACACTAGTGAACAGTCGAAACTGTCAGGTATGAAAACAAACCTATCGACTGAAAAAAGAACCTAATAACAGAAGTTATCGGAAGACCAAATGAACCTCATTGGACTAAGAAGGTTCCAGGTTTGATCTCAGAGTCGCCCGGGGCTTTTCTGTGTGGAGTTTGTATATTTCTCCCCATGTGTGGATGGTTTTTCACCGGACACTCCGGTTTCACGCATCAACCCAAAACATGCTACAGGTCCCCCATACCCAAAGACTAGAGGAGGAAATGAGCTCTGGTGCTACAAGCTGGTACAAACATCTCTCCTGTTGATGTTCATGCAGACTCTCCCTGCCTCATGAAATAAATAAACTAACAAATCAGAGCGAGAGGAGCAGGAGGGAATGAGAAAAAATCTGAACTGAACTAAAAAACTGAAGGGTTTTGAGCTGAGAAAAAGTTCATGATCTGAAAATAAATAAAAATCACCACAAAATCTGACATTTTTGAAAGCTGTAGATGCCCTGTCAGCCCCTGTCAGCCCCTGTCAGCCCCTGTCAGCCCCTGTCAGCCCCTGTCAGCAGTTTGTGAGTACTTTGCGCTTTACGGGTGTAGTTCCAGTGAATGTCCACAACACCAACTCCAGACAGACACAAGCAGGAACACTCTCTCCGGCTCTTGTAAAAGCTGCAGGTCTGTACCTTGTCGGGGAGTCCTGCAGGTTGGCACACGATCCTCAGGGGCAGAGACTGTTTGTCGCTCAGGGCTTTGAGGTGGCTGCTGATGCCAGTGCCCTCGATCTGCCACTGACGCAGGTGATACGCAAACCTACGGAGAAACAACAAGCGACACGCGTTGACGAGTGACAAAACGATGCTTTATTTGACACCGGTCTCTTATTCTGTTATTTACTGCGATGTGTGAGCTCATGAGTCCAAATTATTTCATTTGTGGATCAATAAAGTTTGTTGAAAATGTTTTAAAGGCGTCAAAAAGCCAGAAGAAAGGGGAAAATACAACAGCAAAACTAGTCATTTTTTGTCACTAAAGTGGAAATAATGGCATGAAACTCATAAAATCGTAGGCCATGCATCGTGTTTTTGGTGTTTTCGTTGCGTACCTGCGTCTGAAGGCCTCCAGGTGAGTCTTCAACATGAGCAGCCCTCTCTCTATACTGGTCAGACTGGAGTGAGCGTCCTTCTCCAGGTTGGCGGACGCCATGAGGAGACTCTCCATGCACTTCCTGATGAACTCCTGCTCCTTCTCCAGACCCGTTTTACCCGCTGGAAAAGGAACGAGAGAGAAAACGGAGTGAGTTTACCGGAGGAACACGGGTCTGGTCGGTGCTAAAAACGCTCCGGGTTTTTAAATGAAAGTACCGTTGATGTAGTAGGAGTTGATGTACTGGATGGCTGCGCGGCTGATGTCTGCGGACTGAGCCCGGAGAGCGATGCCCCACAGCTGGTCCATCCCACACAACTGAAAACATAAACAAACTGGGTTAAAACAACTAAAACACACACGCAGGATTAAAACTAGGGCTGTTGTGGTAATCGTCATCCTGCAGAACCGTGTTATGATCAATCACACCACACCAGGGTTCAGGTCACCGCAGTAACCACATTTTGTATTTTAATGAGGCTCGGTGTCGTTAACCGCAGGTTACCGGGTCGACTCGTGCATCAGTGTCAGAAAGAACGGGTTTGGTGAACAGTTTAGTCAATAATCACTGTTTCTCCTCCAGGTCAAACCTGGGACTTTCATTTAGATTCACTGGGGACATTCACAGTGTGCAGTGTGTACAGGCGCCCCCTGCAGGCCTCTGTGGGGTTTACTGTGGGTGTACGAGCTTCACCCGTCACTCACTGAAGAATCATAATAATATATCCTGTAAATCATCTGTAAAACTACATTACACCACACGTGCAGGTGTCTGTCACTCAGGCCTGGCTCTGGTTCTATACAGACTTTTTTCAAGTGCATCGTCAATGTACATGTTTATTATGTGTTGTAGCGCATGAACCGTGCACACACCGCGCACCAAACACACACACCGCGCACCAAACACACACACCGCGCACCAAACACACACACCGCGCACCAAACACACACACACACACACACACCGCGCACCAAACACACACACACACCGCACCAAACACACACACACACACACACACACCGCGCACCAAACACACACACAGCGCACCAAACACACACACACCGCGCACCAAACACACACACACCACACAACACACACGCGCACCAAACGCACCAAACACACACACACCGCGCACCAAACACACACACCGCAGTGCAGAGGCACGTAAAGTTACTGTGAGGGAACTTCTTAAACCACAACAGCACGAATTAAAACAACTGAAAACACACACACGATGTGGGTGTGGGTGTGGGTGTGGGTGTTGTTGTGGGCGTGGGTGTTGGGTGTTGTTGTGGGCGTGGGTGTGGGTGTGGGCGTGGCTGTGGGTGTGGGCGTGGGTGTGGGTGTTGTTGTGGGCGTGGGTGTTGTTGTGGGTGTGGTGTTGTTGTGGGGTGTGGCGTGGGTGTGGGTGTGGGCGTGGGTGTGGGTGTTGTTGTGGGTGTGGGTGTGGTGTGGGTGTGGCGTGTGTGTGGGGTGTTGTTGTGGGTGTGGGCGTGGCTGTGGTGGTGGCGTGGGTGTGGGTGTGTTGTGGGTGTGTGGCGTGGCTGTGGGTGTGGCCGTGGGTGTGGTCGTGGGCGTGGCCGTGGGTGTGGGCGTCAGTACCTCACAGCTGGCGGCGTTGTCCAGGGCGCTGGTGGCGAGGCGGGCCAGGTTACACAGGTGCTGGAACAGGTTCAGACCCGTCATGGAGATGGTCTCCGGCTTCAACTGAGGCATCTGCAAAACACCAAACACCAAACACCAAACACGTCAAGAACAAACACAACGAGAAATCGAAAACACTCAAACTGTGACTATGGTTCTGTGAATCTCGACTGAGGCTGAACCAGAACCAGAAGGTTTTTGGACACGTGTCTGACCTTCTCGAGGAACAGGTGCTTGTAGGTCTCCATGCCCATGGCGTGTTGGTCTTTGGACCGGACCTGGTTCAGAAACCAGTGCAGCGCGTCGTCGTAACATTCAGAGTCTTCAACCAGACAGTGCCACAGGATGTCCACCTGCTCCAGACTCAGCCCTGGGACACAACAAAACGTCCGGCTTTAGTCCGGCTTTAGTCCGGCTTTAGTCCGGCTTTAGTCCGGCTTTAGTCCGGCTTTAGTCCGGCTTTAGTCCTGGTTTCTGTCCTGGTTTCTGTCCTGGTTTCTGTCCTGGTCCAACCCTGGTCCAAACCTGGTCCAACCCTGGTCCAACCCTGGTCCAACCCTGGTCCAAACCTGGTCCAAACCTGGTCTAACTTTGGTCTAACGTTGGTCTAACGTTGGTCTAACGTTGGTCTAACGTTGGTCTAACGTTGGTCTAACGTAGGTGACTGTTGGCTGGCTCAGTCCTAGTTCAGTCCTGGTCCTGTCCTGGTTTCAGTCCTGGTTTCAGTCTTGGTTTAGTCCCGGTCCAGTCCCGGTCCAGCCCCGGTCCAGTCCCGGTCCAGCCCCGGTCCAGTCCCGGTCCAGCCCCGGTCCAGTCCCGGTCCAGCCCCGGTCCAGTCCCGGTCCAGTCCCGGTCCAGTCCCGGTCCAGTCCCGGTCCAGTCCCCGGTTTCCTCACTGAAATGGTCCGGTGAGCCCAGAGTGGAGAAGACACAGGTGAGAAACTGCAGTCGGACCTGGACCTCCGCACTGTGACTGTACCTGAAAAAACAACAACACCTGAATGTACCACGAAAAACAAACACCTGAATGTACCACGGAAAAACAAACACTGAATGTACCACGGAAAAACAAACACTGAATGTACCACAGAAAAACACAACCTGAATGTACCACAGGAAAAACAAACACCTGAATGTACCAGGAAAAACAAAACACCTGAATGTACCACGGAAAAACAAAACACTGAATGTACCACGGAAAAACAAAACACTGAATGTACACAAAACAACACCTGAATGTACCAAAAAACAACACCTGAATGTACCAAAAACCTGAATGTACCACAGAAAAACAAACACTGAATGTACCACGGAAAAACAACACACCTGAATGTACGACAAAAAACAAACACCTTGAAGTACCACACGAAGAAAAAACAAAACACCTGAATGTACCACGAACACGAATGTACCACAAAAAAACAACACCTGAATGTACCACGGAAAAACAACACCTGAATGTACCACGGAAAAAACAAACACCTGAATGTACCACGGAAAAACAACACCTGATGTACCTGAAAAACAAACACCTGAATGTACCATGAAAAACAAAACACCTGAATGTACCACGGAAAAACAAACACCTGAATGTACCACCTACCACGGAAAAAAAACACCTGAAATGTACACGGAAAAACACCTGAATGTACCTGACACGAAAAAAACAAACACTGAATGTACACACTGAATGTACCACGGAAAAACAAACACCTGAATGTACCACGAAAAACTGAAACAAACACAACCACCTGAATGTACCACGGAAAAACAAACACCTGAATGTACCACGGAAAAACAAACACCTGAATGTACCACGGAAAAACAAACACCTGAATGTACCACGGAAAAACAAACACCTGAATGTACCACGGAAAAACAAACACCTGAATGTACCACAGAAAAAAAAAACACCTGAATGTACCACGGAAAAAACAAACACCTGAATGTACCACAAAAACAAACACCTGAAACCACAGAAAACAAACACCTGAATGTACCACGGAAAAACAAACACCTGAATGTACCACAAAAAAACAACCTGAATGTACACCACCTGAATGTACCACGGAAAAACAAACACCTGAATGTGTACCACGGAAAAAACAAACACTGAATGTACCCACGGAAAAACAAACACCTGAATGTACCGAAAAACAAACACCTGGAACGGAAAAAACAAACACCTGAATGTACCACGGAAAAACAACAAAACCTGAACGTACCACGGAAAAACAAACACCTGAATGTACCACGGAAAAAACAAACACCTGAATGTACCACGGAAAAAACAAACACCTGAATGTACCACGGAAAAACAAACACCTGAATGTACCACGGAAAAACAAACACCTGAATGTACCACGGAAAAACAAACACCTGAATGTACCACGGAAAAAACAACACACCTGAATGTACCACGGAAAAACAAACACCTGAATGTACCACGGAAAAACAACAACACCTGAATGTACCACGGAAAAACAACAACACCTGAACGTACCACGGAAAAACAAACACCTGAATGTACCACGGAAAAAAACAACACCTGAATGTACCACGGAAAAACAAACACCTGAATGTACCACGGAAAACAAACACCTGAATGTACCACGAAAAAACAAACACCTGAATGTACCACGGAAAAACAAACACCTGAATGTACCACAGAAAAACAAACACCTGAATGTACCACGGAAAAACAAAACACCTGAATGTACCACGGAAAAACAAACACCTGAATGTACCACGGAAAAACAAACACCTGAATGTACCACGGAAAACAAACACCTGAATGTACACGGAAAAAAAAACAAACCACCTGAATGGAAAAAACAAACACCTGAATGTACCACGGAAAAACAAACACCTGAATGTACCACGGAAAAACAAACACCTGAACGTACCACAAAAAAACAAACACCTGAATGTACCACGGAAAAAACAAACACCTGAATGTACCACGGAAAAACAAACACCTGAAGGCACCACAGGAGCAGAGGAGAGGCAGAGTGAGAAGGAGGAGGTAGGAGGTGGAGAAGGTGAAGGACGAGGTGGAGGTGGATAAGGTGGTGTAGGAGGAGGAGGTGAACGTGGAGGAGGTAGGAGGAGGTGTAGGTGAAGGTGAAGGAGGAGGTGGACAAGGTGGTGTAGGAGGAGGAGGTGCAGATGGAGGAGGTGGAGGTGGTGGAGGTGCAGGAGGTGGAGAAGCAGATGGAGGAGAAGAGGTGGAGGAGGTCAAGGAGGTGCTGGAGGAGGTGAAAGAGGAGGTGTAGAAGGTCAAGAAGGTGGAGGAGGAGGTGGAGGAGGTGTAGAAGGTCAAGGAGGTGGAGGAGGTGGAGAAGGTGAAGGAGGTGCTGGAGGAGGTGAAGGAGGAGGTGTAGGAGGTGTAGAAGGTCAAGGAGGTGGAGGAGGTGGAGAAGGTGAAGGAGGTGCTGGAGGAGGTGAAGGAGGAGGTGGGAGGAGGAGGTGTAGAAGGTCAAGGAGGTGGTGTAGGAGGTGGAGAAGGTGAAGGAGGTGCTGGAGGAGGTGGAGGAGGAGGTGTAGAAGGTCAAGGAGGTGGTGGACGAGGTGGAGGAGGAGCAGATGGAGGAGGTGGAGGTAAGAGGAGCAGGTGAGGGAGGTAGAGGAGGGGGTGAAGGTGGAGTAGTTGGAGGTAGAGGTGGAGGTGGAGGTGGTGGAGCAGGTGATGGAAGAGGTGGAGCAGAAGGTGGAGCAGAAGGTGGAGGAGAAGGTGGAGGAGAAGGTGGAGGAGAAGGTGGAGCAGAAGGTGGAGCAGAAGGTGGAGGAGAAGGTGGAGCAGAAGGTGGAGCAGAAGGTGGAGGAGAAGGTGGAGGAGAAGGTGGAGCAGAAGGTGGAGCAGAAGGTGGAGGCAGAAGGTGGAGCAGAAGGTGGAGGAGAAGGTGGAGCAGAAGGTGGAGCAGAAGGTGGAGGCAGAAGGTGGAGCAGAAGGTGGAGCAGAAGGTGGAGCAGAAGGTGGAGCAGAAGGTGGAGAGAAAGGTGGAGGAGGTGGAAGGTGGAGCAGCAGAAGGTGGAGCAGAAGGTGGAGGAGAAGTGGAGGAGAAGCAGAAGGGTGGAGGGAAGAAGGTGGAGCAGAAGGTGGAGAGAGGTGGAAGCAGAAGGTGGAGGGTGGAGAAGGGAGAAGGTGGAGGAAAAGGTGGAGCAGAAGGTGGAGGAGAAGGTGGAGCAGAAGGTGGAGGAGAAGGTGGAGCAGAAGGTGGAGGAGAAGGTGGAGCAGAAGGTGGAGCAGAAGGTGGAGCAGAAGGTGGAGCAGAAGGTGGTGGAGAAGGTGGAGCAGAAGGTGGAGGAGAAGGTGGAGGAAGGTGGAGCAGAGAAGGTGGAGCAGAAGGTGGAGCAGAAGGTGGAGCAGAAGGTGGAGGAGAAGGTGGAGGAGAAGGTGGAGCAGAAGGTGGAGCAGAAGGTGGAGCAGAAGGTGGAGCAGAAGGTGGAGCAGAAGGAGGAGGAGAGGTGGAGCAGAAGGTGGAGTCACAGTGCAAACTTGTGCCTCTGTTCTCTGACCTCCTGGATGTAAAACTGCAGATCGTCGAAGAACAGCCTCATCATGTGCAGCTCCTTCTCCGCCCACCTGACGACAGACGCAGGTTTAAAACCACTAAGACGCTCAGCCTGATGGACGTCACTGTATAACACTTGCTCAAGGGCACGTGGGCAGAAGGTGACTGACTTACATGGTGATCCAGTGAGTGTCGTAACTGGAGCCGAACTGCTGAAAAGTGCCGAAAAGTTTTGGGAGCAAACGCAGAGAAACGACCACAGACCTGAGAGAAAAAGAAACAGAGAAAGGAGTCAGAAAAACCGAAAAACAGGACAGAATATGATGGGTTTAGACCTGGTTTAGACCTGGTTTAGACCTGGTTTAGACCTGGTTTAGACCTGGTTTAGACCTGGTTTAGACCTGGTTTAGTCCTGGGTTTAGACCTGGGTTTAGTCCTGGTTTAGTCCTGGTTTAGTCCTGGTTTAGACCTGGTTTAGACCCCTGGTTTAGTCCTGGTTTAGTCCTGGTTTAGGTTTAGACCTGGTTTAGACCTGGTTTAGACCTGGTTTAGACCTGGTTTAGTCCTGGTTTAGTCCTGGTTTAGTCCTGGTTTAAGACCTGGTTTAGACCTGGTTTAGACCTGGTTTAGACCTGGTTTAGTTTGGTTTAGTCCTGGTTTTAGTCCTGGTTTAGTTTGTTGGTTTAGTCCTGGTTTAGTCCTGGTTTAGTCCTGGTTTAGCCCTGGTTTAGACCTGGTTTAGTCCTGGTTTAGTCCTGGTTTAGTCCTGGTTTAGTTCTGAAGGTGCTTTCACAGTGACAGAAGTTGATGCACCAAAAGTTCCATTCAAACCAAAAGTTCTTGGTTCGGTTTGTTTTCGTTGGTGTGAAAACTTCAGTCGCACTTGGACCTGCATTAAAGGTTTGTATAGAGGATTTTTTAAGGGAAGTGAAATACAGCGACAGTCCTTTTTCAAATGTTGCGCATGCGTGACACCACCTTCCCTCAGTAGAAACACTCCTCTCCGCCTCTTTACTTTACTCTAGAAATCACGCGTGTTTACATCCAGTGCATGTTCAGAATTACACGTTGAAGGTGACCTGCCTAGAAATAATTTAGCGACCGACGCGTCTTTAGTTTTTAGACTCTTCGTCTGCTTCATTCGCGCCGTCGCTGGAAGGAATCTCCAAAAATCACCTCAGTTTGTCTTCGCTCCTTTTCCCCTTTTCTTCTTTCAGCGACCTCAAAAACGGACTTTCTTTGGCGGCGAACTGGTCGTGGATTCTCGTCGTCCGCCGCGTCGCAACAAAACTTTGTGCGATTTGTGAGGAAGCGACAGTTTGAAAAAGCCTTCTAAGAACCGCTGCATAAACCACATAATCCCCGCGCACCGACGAGTCAGTTACACTAGAAACGTAGGGAGTTTGATTGACAACCTAACAGCCAATAGATAAAGAGGTAGCCTCGTTTTCTATTGGCTGATGTTTATCTGGCCTCACTACATCCACAGTTGATAGATTTATTTATTTTATTTTTTTTGGGTCATCGTAGTTACAAGGCTGCTGCGTCTCTCTAATGGTATTTTAAACTTCTGATGACAATTTGAAACAAAAAAAAAAATCCTCCATACAACCTTTAAATCAAAAGGACCGAGACCTCAAAAAAGGAGGTGGTTTTGGTCCACTTGACTCCGCACCAAAATGCCAAACTCTGGTGCGGTTCCTCTGGTGTGAACGGGTCCAAAGCAGAGTCAGTACGTCTAAACCAACTATTTGAAATGCATCTTGGGAGAATACGTGTCTCCTCTGTCTGAAATGTTGCGCTATCAGCTTCCATCAACTTCAGAAATGTCCTGCTTTTAGCCGAGTGTGAGAAACGCTACAGTCCTGAACCAGCGGGAGCAGCTCCGGTTCAGGTCGGGCTCAGAGGAACTGGAGCGGGGAGCCACAGCCTGAGAAGCACGTTCCAACCAAACCAAACAGGATTCACGCTTCTGTCCGGATGCTTTACGCCACCTCAGAACGAGCCGCACTTTCCCCGCACGGGTCCAGCGCGCAGACGACGGCACGGACCAGGGACGGGCATGATTACGTTGATTTTAATGGACAAACTGAATGTATGTTTGTGTGTCGTGACCAAACAGGTGTGTACATGTGTCTCTGCATCAGAAGGAGCGAGACACAAACAGTGGGTCAGTCTGTAACGAACCGAAGCACAAATGTGGATTTAACCAGGATTTGTAGAAGAAATTCCACACTTTCCGTTGCGTTGGGACAAGTGTGAGTCCATGTGCACAGTGTATAAAGCAGCACATATGTTTCTGTGTCCAGTGGGAAAAAGTTTTTCCAGGTGACGAGTCGCTCAATGTGACGAGGCCCCCCCCCCTCCCCCGTACGCTGTCCTGGTTTTGACAAACACAAATCTGGTCACACTGACCTGTATTCACCTGAGTCATGTCTTTTAATCCAACACAAGTTGAACCACATCAGCGACACAAGAGCTGGAGTTTTATCTTCACTTAGTTTATGTAAATTAGTGATGTGGTTTTAAGTTTTGTTTCTGTGAGATTTGAACAAAACTGAATTAAACACATTATAATGTCAAACAGCTGATGTGGATCTAGAGTCGTTATGTTTATATGTCGTAAAGTTGAATTTATTTATGCAGATTAGTGCAGATAGTCATAATAATGATGATCATTTTAATATAAAAACCTTAATGATTAACGATCGTTAATTCTTCCAATGATCGATTAAGAAAATTTCATTGAACACCCGTCTCTAGTTCACAGACCCACTCAGATCCGGTCTATTATGCACTGGTCTTACTCGCCCCCCCCCCATCCTGAGGAGCTACGGTGAGTGCGTCCGTGTCTTTATCGCCGTTTCCTGAGCTGAGTTTGTACAAAGTTCTACCGCTGCTGTTTTATTTTTTAAGTTGAGACGAGGACGGCCCTGCGGTTTTAACAGGAAACATCTGTATCTTTCACAATTGGAGTAGTTTTAACAGGAACAAAAAGGAGAGAAGAGCACATCACCCCAATCCTTGCATCTTTGCACTGGCTCCCTGTTCATTTTAGAATAGATTTTAAGATTTTATTGTTTGTTTTTAAAGCTTTGAATGGACTGGCTCCACAGTACGACTCGGACCTCATCCAAATTTATACTCCCTGAGCGTCTGAGGTCCGAGGTCCAGCTCCAGTTCTCAGGGCCTAAGACGAGACTTAAAACCAGGAGGACAGGAGCTTCTCTGTGGTCGACACTAAACTCTGGAACGATCTGCCGCTTCACGTTGGAGCAGCTCCACAGTGGAGAGTTTTAAATCTCGTCTGAAGACCCACTTTTATTCTCTGGCTTTTAACACCGTGGGTGAGTCGTGTGCCTCTGTGTCTTTTATTTATTTTTATGTGTTTTTATTGGTTTTACTGATTT